TCATTCATTCATTCATTCAGTCATTTCATTCATTCATTCATTCATTCATTCATTCATTCATTCATTTCATTCATTCATTCATTCATTCATTCATTCATTCATTCATTCATTCATTCATTCATTCATTCATTCATTCATTCATTCATTTCCATTCATTCCATTCATTCCATTCATTCCATTCATTTCATTCATTTCATTCATTTTCATTTCATTCATTTCATTCATTTCATTCATTTCATTCATTCATTCATTCATTCATTTCATTCATTCATTCATTTCATTCATTTCATTCATTTCATTCATTTCATTCATTTCATTCATTTCATTCATTTCATTCATTTCATTCACTTCATTCACTTCATTCACTTCATTCATTTCATTCATTTCATTCATTTCATTCATTTCATTCATTTCATTCATTTCATTCATTTCATTCATTTCATTCATTTCATTCATTTCATTCATTTCATTCATTTCATTCATTTCATTCATTTCATTCATTTCGTTCATTTCATTCATTTCATTCATTTCATTCATTTCATTCATTTCATTCATTTCATTTCATTCATTTCATTCATTTCATTCATTTCATTCGTTTCATTCATTCATTCATTCATTTCATTCATTCATCCATTCATTTCATTCATTTCATTCATTTCATTCATTTCATTCATTTCATTCATTTCATTCATTTCATTCATTTCATTCATTTCATTCATTTCATTCATTCATTCATTCATTCATGCATTCATTCATGCATTCTTTCATTCATTCATTTCATTTCATGTCATTTCATGTCATTTCATTTCATGTCATTTCATTTCATTTCATATCATTTCATTTCATTCCATTGAGTTCATTCATTCCATTGAGTTCATTCATTCATTTCATTTCATTTCATTTCATTTCATTTCATTCATTCATTCAGTCATTCATTCATTCATTTCATTCATTCATTCATTCATTCATTCATTCATTCTCTCACTTCATTTCATTTCATTTCGCTTCATGTCATTTCATGCATTTCATTCATTCATTTCATTCATTCATTTCATTCATTTCATTCATTTCATTCATTTCATTCATTCAGTCATTCATTTCATTTCATTTCATTTCGTTTCATTTCATTTCATTTCGTTTCATTTCATTTCATTTCATTTCGTTCATTCATTCATTCATTTCATTCATTCATATTCATTTCATTTCATTTCATTTCATTCCATTCCTTTCCATTCCATTCCATTCCATTCATCATCCGTTTATTCATTCACTGATGGTTTCTTGATTTGTTATTTATGTTTTTTGTTTTTTTCATGTTTGCTAGTATGAGCGCGTAAATTTTTTATATTTGTTGATATGTGGATATAATTGTTTGCTGTTTATCAATCAACTTGTCTGTTTGTTTGTTGTTTGTATTTTTTGTCATTACTTAATGAAGAAAGATACCAACTTCCAATTTACTATGCTTCTCAACCTTTTCACATATCTATCCATCCATGTATCATTCAATGAATCTATCCCCATGTATGGGTATACACTCTGCAGGCAAATATGCGCAAACGCGCCTGAATCCAGTCTTTTTTGTCGCAAAATCAAAGTTCGTCTATCTCCGCCATGTCCTCCCCCAGTGCATTCTGTATAGTGCGCCTTGCAGAAATTAGCTCTGCTGAAATGGTGCCACGGCGGATCTGGTAATCTCCTGTGATCGGTACACAACCCTGCGACATGAAGAAACGCAAAGGTACAAAAGGAGAACCAAAACCAAACCTTGAGCCCAATAGGTTCGTGATGTGCTTAGCAAACAACTTGCAGAAAAGGTACGGCTGCTTGGCCCGTGCTGTCCTTTGAAGGGATAGTTCATGTCAATAGCGAAGCGAAAGAGTGTCAGGAAGGCCAGCGTCAAGGTAGAGAAAAAGCAGCGATCTACAATGGAAAATTCACTGTTGGGATCTGCCGCCTCCCTGAGGGTGAAAGAAATTGTAATGAAAATTGACAGCAAACCGAAGGTCCAGTAGAAGGTGGGCGGCAAGATCAGAGATTCCCTGGACAGCCGACCAGCCCTAAAATCTTTTAACTGGTTCACCATGGACAGACACAGCTGAAGATCTTGCTCGTACAGTGGGGAATTGGTCGTATCTTCTCTTCGCGTTCGTCCCCACTTCAGAAGTGCGAGTCGGTAATTGGAGATGCTATCCTTAGAAGGAAAGGATCCTCTAGCAACCTGTAGGCAAATGTAAGGACGACTTACTCACCCCTTCGCACACTGGCTTTTAGGCATTCTTTTGGTACCGGTTCGATTCAAAGGGCACAAAAATCATAGTGAGGCAAAATATTCAAGATGATAGATACAGCAGTCTTGTCCGATGATGCTTCGACATGGTCTTCTGGGCCCGTTCTGACAACAATAATCTTAATGCTGATTATGAGACTCCATTATGTTGAATGTTGAAGTCCAGGCCATCTCTGAAAGCAGGAGGACAGGTTGGCTTGAAGCTGGGAGCCCTACAAATCAATTGCGGCAACCAAAAGCAAGAGTCTGAAACAAGACAAACTGGATCAGTTGCAAACAATCTGACGAGGTAGTTTCTTCAACATTGACGAAAAGCCCCACAACAAGCAACACAAATCTAAGGAAATTTTCACAGGTCCTCGAAAATGCAACACATGTTTATGTTGTATGCTAAAAAACCCGCCCGCGCCGAAGGAATCTGCTACAGCTTCAGCTGGGAAGGGTGCATTTTCAGGATCAACCCCCCCAAAAACCATAATTAACCCGCCAGCGGCCGGAGACATCACGTCCCTGACGTCCCTCACGTCCCTCACGTCCCTCACGTCCCTCACGTCCCTCACGTCCCTGACGTCCCCGTCTCACGTCCTGACGTCCCCGACGTCCCCAACGTCCCTCACGTCCCTCGCGTCCCTCACACGTCCTCCACGTCCCCCACGTCCCTGGTCTGACGTCCCTGACGTCCCTGACGTCCCTGACGTCCCTGACGTCCCCGACGTCCCTCACGTCGGTCGGGAGCTTGCTTGGAGCGCCGAAAAGTGAATCGCTTAGAGCGCCGGGAAAGTGGATCGCTTGGAACGCCGAAAAGTGACATAAGATTGCAAGTTACTTGACGAAAATGTTACAACGCACCAGGAACCTCTTGCAAGCTAGTTGAAGATGCTACAACGTATCACGTATCAGGAACGTCTTGCAAGTTACTTGAAGAAGCGTTTACAACGTATCAGGAACATATGGAAAGCTACTTGGAACAAGATGTGGCAACTAATGTAATCCACCCTGCTGGTCCCCTAAACCCAGCCCCGTGTCCCCACTTGTGCCCTTGTCGCAGCCCCGTGTCCCCGCTTGTCCCCTAAACCCACCCCATGTCCCACCAGCCCTCTGTCCCCAAGTCTTGCCCCAAAGTCCCAAAAGTCTCATTCCACCATGCTGGTCCCCTAAACCCGCCCCATGTCCCAACCCCGTGTCCCCCCCAAAGGTCTCATTCCACTATATAAACCCACCTCATGTCCCAGCCCCGTGTCCCGACATCTCATACGTCCCTGCCGTCCCTGCCTCACGTCCCTGACGTCCCCGACGTCCCTCACGTCCCCGACGTCTCACGCGTCCCCGTCTCACGTCCCTGACGTCCCTGCCGTCCATGCCTCATGTCTCTGACGTCCCTCACGTTCCTCACGTCCCCGACATCGCCCACGTCCTCCACGTCCCTCACGTCCCTCACGTCCCTGGTCTGATGTCCCTGACGTCCCTGACGTCCTCGACATCCTTCATCTCTCCACGTCTGCATCCCCGAAGTCCCGCCGTCTGACTTTCAGGTCCCTGACATCCCCAATGTGAGTTTGTCAGCTGTCGACCTGTGGCAATTGCTATTGACAAGCCGTGAATTTGTAAGCTGTTGAACCTGGACCAGGAAGTTTAATCCCACTTATGTTACTGCAGAGCCGTAAGTTTGTAAGCTGTCGAACTGTGACACATTAAGTCTTTTCCCAATCACTATACTGACAAGCCGGGACTTTGCAAGCTGCCGAACTTTGACGCATGGGTTGAATCCCACTGGTGTTAGACTGCGCTTGCCGTGGTTGTGAGCTGTCGCGCATTCAAGCTGTGTAATCTTGACGATCATTGTTTGGCAGATTTTGACTCTATTCCAGAAACATGTGTCTACAAGGGCAGAAGTAAGATATGAAGACGTCGAACGTTTTTGAGTGCCAAGTCTGCAGGATGTCAGTTCTGAGATAAGATGTCCCAGAAGAATCCAAGGAAGGACTTGGAGACACGTAGCAACTCGTGCTCTTCAATTTGCGCGGCCAAAAAATTTGCAGATGCCTAGCTGCTTGCGGCAGGGTCAAAACCAGGACCACCCATACACAATGACAAATTAACAATTGCCGTTTCCCAATAGTCATTTCTCAATATAGTCGTTTCCCACTTCCTGATGTCCTCCACGTCCCTCGCCCTCACGTCCCTCGCGTCCCTCACGTCCTCCACGTCCCTCACCCTCACGTCCCTCACGTCCCTCACGTCCTCCACGTCCCTCACCTTCACGTCTCCGACGTCTCCGACGCGTCCACGTCCCCGACGTCCACGTCCCCGACGTCCCCGGCCACACGAGAGTTAATAATCCCAAAAAGAGGCTCCCCGCTGTGGTAACTTGCACATTTTGCATATCGGCATATCGGCACAAAATCGTCCAAATGCACCGTTTCGATCCAACATGTCTGCAACATTGGCCCGACTTAGGTTCCACCGCCTAACAATGCCCCAACTTGGCCCGGCCCCAACTTGGACCCACTGCGCAACTTGGCTGCCAAGTTTGACCCCAGTCGGCTTTTGGCTGGGCCAATCAGGCCCGCTTCTTTCCTCTCTGTCCTATTCCCTGGGTGCCGGCGGTTCTCGTCGCGAAGCGACTCGACTAAATTTTATAATGTCTTGAAGGCGTAGTGTGTGTGCGACCTGCACGCAAAGCGCATCATACTTGGATTCCAAGGCGGGCTCGGAGCCTATATGACTGCATCTCAAGAAAAGTATGAACAAACTGCTTGGCAAACCCGCAAGGGTCTTGACAGGTGTTGTGGGTGCAACATGTTACGACGTGTTGGGACACATCATATGATAACATGTGTTATATCCCCAAGTGACACCACCAACATCCCAGCGACATCTTGCCGTTGCCGGTCGGCGATGTCCATCAACTCTTCGCCTCGGGTGCTGAAGGCCAGCCGCTCTGTGTGATGCCACAGGGCCTGCAACGTGGCATGGCACCGCAGAACATACTATCCACAAAATGTCATCATGTGGCTTCATGTGGTTTCTACGGAGCAAAGTGCGCGTGTTTATGAAACCACTTCCACAGGACAATTTTTTGGAAGGATCTCCCCCCTCCCCATGCTGATGCCACAGGCATCTCCAGAGCCTTCAATGCCTTCCGTTCGTTGTGCTGTACAGTCTCTCTGGTTTTCTGTGGCAGCGCCCCTTTGGGCAGCGAGTCAAAAAGTTCCACAGTGTGTTCAGCAAGACCACTCAGCAGGGCACACTCCCTGACGCAGTTGGTTTGAAGTTCCGCCAGGCGCTGAATCTGCAGTGTCAACGTCACCCCTGAGTAGCTGCCGAACACGAAGGTTTCTACTGTCACGAAGTCAGTAACGACATCAGCCAGGTCATTCACATTCTCCCCGTCGCCCAACTGTAAAATTTGACGGAGGAAACGAACAACACCTGGATATGCCATAAATGCGATAGAAAATGCAACAATCCTGTAGGCTGGACTTTCCAAGGAAGTCGCCGGCACATTTGGGCCATTTTTCCGTGACAAATCCTTTAAATCCAATGGCAAACCTTGATATGCTTTGTCGAGAGCATCCGGCGTTGAATACTGTCGGGTTTGCTTAAATATGGATGTGTCAGGTTGGAACAAACGGCCAAACCAACTTGTTTCCGGCTCAGCCCACAGCAATCCCATCGGGGAACTGCCATGTCTGGGGCGCAATCTTCTGCAACTTCCCAGCACAAACATTGCTAATGCCCCACGCGTCGGCCATGACAGATGGCCTAAATTGCGTGGTTTTTTGCGTCTGCCAAAGCCAACCACCACTTCATGATCCAAAGTCCCACAACGAGGAATGTTCCAAACGCATGGCGACGAATCGACCATGAGCAGGAAAACGTCAAAAATAATGAGAACCAGGGGTTGCAAATCAGTAGTGTTGATCTTTCTTCCCAGGGGAAACATCAGCCCATAATGCATCGTGGACAGCTGCCTATGGTAGAGATGAGAGATGTCATGTCACTTTTTGGATTGTCCTAAATTATATAGCGGTATGGCGCGTTGACTTTTGAAAGGTTTGTCATGTTGTCTTGCTTCTACCTTTGCGAATCAAGGTGCTGCATGTCTTCTTTGACGACGCATGAACATTCCCCACAGTCTATGATGTGACATTGGCAGGGAAATCGGGCTTTCAATGACTGCTCCACGCCCTTTCAAACCAAGCGCTTTGGGCTAAGCAAAAATCTTTCGGGGAAAAACAAAACAACAGGAACACCGACTCCCCGCAACAGTGGCATTGGTTGATTTGCAACAGCAACAGCAACAGCAACAGCAGCAACAGCAGCAACAGCAACAGCAGCAACAGCAACCACAACCACAACCACAACCACCACCACCACCACAACAACAACAACAACCACCACGACAACCACCACAACCACCACAACCACCACAACCACCACCACCACCGTCGCCACCATAGGGGATTCTGGACCAGCGCCTTTGCGGCATAAACAAAGGCAGATGGAAAGGTTTAACGCATAGCCTTGTAGCATGGGCCGCGGGGCCGAGGGGGTCTAGGGATTATAAACGACCGTGTCCCTACAGGGCATACACAGCACCTACATATATGTACATATAAATATATATATATACATATATAAACAGACGAATGTGCGTGTAATCCTCGCATACGCGTTCGCATCCTACACATGGGGGAGAACAACATACACCATCTCAAACTTAAACAAAAACACCTCAAACTTAAAATAACGCATTCGGAATGACATGTCTGAACTGCAACGGCTGACGCACACTCTGTTTTATTTCTCTTTGGCGGACAAGGGCGATATCCAATGGAAATCGGTTTGGATTTCCAGCATCATGTGTTGGTTTCATTGCATTTGAAACTGACAGGTGGGATCGCATGTCCCTGCATTTTCTTTCATACGCATTTCTCACCGATGGGTCGCGTATAACATGTGTGTTGCACATACGTCTCACCAAATGAGGGCGGGTACAACGTACTTAGGGTGGGATGAAAAATATTCGCCCATGCGTCAAGCGACCCTCCCTACCCAACCCTGCATCTTGATGAGTAAAATGCCACACGAACAAAGATTTCATCACCCATTCATTTGTGAGAGTTTGTTTTGAAACTATGCATATTGAAAGTATACACAATATGTGTGCATGCATGGTATGTAGTGTACAGTATATATATATATATATACACTGCATGTCACACGCTCGTTTAAAATTTGCGAACGTTTGTTTTGCATCGAGCATGGTTGTCTGAAACAATTGTTAAACTGTCCAAACTGTTTCACATGTTTTTTTTCCGGGCCGCCTTCTAGGAAGGCTGCAAGGTCAAGTTTATGAACAGCTATTAGACAAGTCTAACTGCTACCTTATAAACGACCTTGTCCCTACAGAGCATACACAGCACCTGCAAATATATATGTTATATGTATATAAATACACATATATAAACAGATGAATGTACGCGTAATCCTCGCATACGCATTCGCATCCTATGCATGGGGGAGAACAACATACCCCATCACATCTCAAACTTAAACAAAAACATCTCAAACTTAAAATAATGCATTCGGAAGGACATGTCTGAACTGCAACGGCTGACGCACACTCTGTTTTATTTCTCTTTGGCGGCCAAGGGTGATATCCAATGGAAATCGGTTTGGATTTCCAGCATCATGTGTTGGTTTCATTGCATTTGAAACTGACAGGTGGGATCGCATGTCCCTGCATTTTCTTTCATACGCATTTCTCACCCAAGTCTGCTTCAGCCAGAGTGTTGTCCAGAGTAACGCCAAGCATAGGACATTTGGGGTTAACGCAAGTGAACGGTCTGAGAAAAGACAACTCAGCAAGTGAACCCCGACTCGGATGATCAGAAACGTTGGAGCTGGAAGGAACCCTGGCCACCCAAAGCAGAAAACTATCTTCGTCAGGGCCTTCAAGCAAAAGTAGAAGCTTCCTCCGGTCTTCCTGCAAGGATGTCCCTTTGACTATGACATCCAAGGCAGGCCAGTTGTCAACAAACATGATAACACGCCGCGATGAAAACCTCGTCTTCCAATGCACGAGGGAGAGAACGCAAGCATAAAGTTCCACCAGCCCAATAACATGAGTCTTGCCACCTTTTCTCCAAACATCCAAAACAGCCTTTGGCACTTCGCTTCCAAACACTTCAGTAGAACCATCAAGGAAAATGCAAACTGCCCCTATGGTTGGGCAAGGTTCATCGCCATCATACTCAAGGGCACCATCTGTAAAAAGCAAAGCCGGTTTCTGAATCTCATCTGCAATGAACGCTTTCGGTTTGCCAGCGCACAACCTCTCCTTAAGAATATCAAAGGCTCTGACCTGAGTATCATCCAGCCGTACCAATGCCGGGGAAGTGTGGCCCAGCTCCCTCAAATCGGCCAAAGCCAGTTTGCCGGCCCGTCCCCATGCACACATGAGAATCCGCATACTGCAGCTTACTTAAAACCGAGGGAAGTTGGTTCGGCACGACCACACCAGCTTGCAAGATATCTTGCAAGACAGCACTCAAGTCTCCAACCCTGGAAGGTTTATTGGAAATAGTAATCTTTCTCTGAGAGGCTTTGCTCAAGTCCACAACAACACCAAGGATCTCAGCAGTGTAGTCGAAAGGGGCCAGCTTCTCCTCCGAATACACAAAACAAAAAGAGACATGAGGCCTTTCCACAGGCCAGAGTTGATGAAGTGTGCATTGCATGAGATATCATGGGAAAATCGTCAAAGTAGCTCGTCCACAATAGTCCCAATGCACACCCTGCAGCTTGCAGGAAAGAACTTACCGTCAAAAAGTTGCGGACACTTGCTGAAGCACCAAATGGGAGTGTAGCACACTCAAAGCAACGAACATCCTGGTGTTCCTCGCCCCACAAGGAAATGACAGCTTTGTCTGAATCTAGTGGACTGAGAAGCAGCTGCTTCTACGCCGATTTCAGGTCCATAGCTGTGACCTTCGAGTCGACGCCAGAGTCCAACCAATCTTCATGAACAAACCCAGACAGCTGTGTCCCATCTTCAAGTTCAAAGGTAAACTCGCCACCAACCGCCAACCGCATATAGCCTTGCAAGAAAGATTGAAATCCAAACCAAATGATCCAGAGCGTACAACGACGCCCGTTCAGTTGACGAGAAAGTCCCATTCACCCGGTTCTCCTTCAAGTCATCGATCGGCCTCAGCTTTTCTTTCTGCACCACTGAAAGCCGCCGTACAGGGAGCCACCGCCCAGCAAAACGCTCGTCCATGTCAAGTGATGTGAATGGACCTTGTAGCCAACCCTTATCAACCGCTTCGCTCAAGGTGAGCTCATAAAGCTCTTTGCTGTGAGCATCGCCATGGCTAGCCCTGATTTTTCCAAGAAGTACTGGTCTCAAAAACTTTGCATCCTTCATCAATTGATCTTCACTCATGGAAGCCGCTTTGATCCCTGGCCGAAAAACATTCGATTTGGTTGCGTGTCCCACCAAGCGAAAACCTTCTGACATCTCCTTGAACAGCGAAGTATCGGGCCAGTTGATACTTTTTGCAACCCCTTCCATCAAAAGTAAACGCTTTGCACCCAACACAGCTTCGACCTTAGGGTCGCACCTCTGCTTGCTATCTCTCTCTGCTTTGGCAAGTTCAGATGCCCATGACGTCCACCGCTTGAGTCTCTGCATGCGCAGCTTCACAATTTCATACAATTTCGACTGCAGACTTCGTGAGGTCCTCATGCAAACATTTCAGTAAATGGTCAGGCATATGTGCTGCTGCGTCGAAAGGGTACCACAAGCCCTTGGCCAGATTAACAAATGTTTCGCAAGAATGGAACGCTCCAAAAACACACTCTCGGACATTCGTCTCAGTGTCACGCACGCGTGTGAGACCGGTGCACCCGCCGACAAGTGTTTTGCGAGCGAGCGGACCTTATCCGTAAACTAAATAAAATGCAGGCACCCGCAGCGAAGAGAGACGAGGGGCGAACGCGAATTGGGTCGTTAAATCCTGCAACACAGCGGTGGGGGCGCAGAAACGACCATTGAAACCAGAAGAGTCAAACCGAGCACCAAATGTGCGTATGGACTTGACCTTGGTCAGACACGTGGATCACGGGACCGACACGCCTGACCTCAGGATACCGTCAAATGTTCGCTTCCAAGTTCGGAACATCGTCACGAAAGAAGGAATTGCGAACTCCAATGAAGGGTCATCCTGAACCCAAACCCAGTCATGATAGTGCAAAAAGGCCGGGAGCACCGACGTATCATGAACACAACCCCAAAACAACTCAAGCCAAGATGTGTCCTGGAGGGGGCCAAGTTCATCGGCAAAACCAAATGGGGCCCACCGGATCTCCCGCATCCAATTAAGAAGAGACATTGCAAAGCCTTTGTGGCAAACAACAGGGTGCAAATCTTCAACAATAACCAGATACGAAAGTGTACCAATTTGACGCACCTGGTCGATTACGACTGGCTCACGCACCTGGGGTGAGTCCTTGTCATTTGCAAAGATCAAAGCTGCACCTGCTTGGAAAGAGAACACATCTCTGGCTAGAGCCATTTTCTTCTGGAAGTCCTGCAACACTGCTTTGTACAAAGAGGAGAGGTGTCCTTGAAGGGCCTTTTTCGCCGCCAAATCGGCCCAATGGTTGAACCATGCATGAATTTTGGTGACGCCTGTAGCGTTCCTGTAATTCAACTGGCCTTTGACCCAATGGACCTGAACACAGTCGACGTCGGTCCCACGGAGATATGTAAGAAAGAACGCCCATAAGTCTTTGTTTTCCTGCGGGCGGGTAGGCGTGACACGATAAGTTGTGTTGCTACTCTGTAAACAGATTTTGAATCCGTGTCGACA